AAAAAAAACAAAATCTACAGCAGAGAATAGAGGGGGAAAAAGTCCATCAAAGACCTGACTCGGGACCTGAGAGAAGCATCTGGTACTTCAGTTGATCCATTCACTGAATCTTCATCAGAAATGGTCTCAGTGGAAGGGGCTGTCAAGAAGCTATTCTTAAGGAACGTAAACTTGGAGAAAGGCTGAGGTGCGGCAAGTTACACAACTGGACTAAAAATCAGAAGCAACGCATCTTATGGAGCGAGGAATCCAAATTAAAAATGTTAACATTAAATTAGGAGAGGGTGAAATTAGTTCACGTTTGGAAATGTTACACTTAACTGTTAATGTAAGTTATTTGATTAAGGTATTACTTTTATGTCAATTAACCAATACCCTAAATTACTGATAGAAACTTTGGTTGTATAGCAGCTTTATAAAGTGGGAAATGTCTGCTATAGTCTGTCATTAGATGTGCATAAGAGTTTTGTATCTGTGCCCTTTTACCCCAAAGTAAAAACGAAATAGAAAAAGGAAACTCAGGTGGGAGGCAGAGGATAAAACTACTAGAAATAGGAAGGTCAGAGGGAAGCAGTTAAGTAGCCAGTGTTCACTGACCTTCACTGACAAAACCATTCACATCTCACTGCCAAGGACAGGAACCAACACTCAAGCAGCATGTTACCATTACATACACATTGTGTTGTGTGTTCAGTTCACCCGTACAATCAATTAAGAGCTACCCATCTGATTGATCGGAGCTAATTAACATGGGCTTGCAGGATGCTAATGGTCACTGAGGGAGTTCCGAAACACCCTGCCAAACACTAGCACTCCAAGGTCAAAACTGCAGCAAATTTTATGTTGTGCAAAGCCAAATGAAGGAACAGCAGCTGCTGTGCACTGCCAGGACACTCCACTGTATTGTTGTGACATTTAAGCCTTACGCAAGTACTGAAACAGTAATAGTAGTGGGTGCATTAGTCTCTCATAAAGCAGGATTTGTTTTGTCTCTCTCTTTTTTTTAGAGGATATTATTCATAATTACTGAGCAAAGAAAATTCCAGTTGATATTTGATTAACAGAGACTGACACAGTGAGCCGTTCCTGTGATCCATACAATCCTAACATTCAGCTCTGAAAAGAGTTGCTGCTGCAAAGAGGATACTGTAGGAGGGTTGGGAGAGGGTTAGGAAGCAGGCGAAGCATTAATTTTCACTGTTTCCATTTTCAATTCTCTAGAGCCATATGGGGTGGCGTCAAGCTGGCAAAAGAACAAATAACAATTTGACGCCAGAGACCAGGACTCACAGCAGCGAGAGAAGCGAAAAGAAGTACAACACACATGAGAGGAAGGGAGGGGGGAAGAAGAGTTCCTTCTAGTTATTTCCAGAAATGAACCCACAGTGATTTGCAATGACAATCGGATGAGATGTGTGAATTTGGAAAGAGAAGGTGTCAGGACAAGGGGACTAACCCTGAAAGCACTAGTGAGACAACTGCCAACAGTGACAGGGCATTAATCATCTCCTAACATCCACACATCCACAATCGCAATGAGAGAAGCTTGTCTACACACCATGCAGCCCAGCCATATATCTAGTCACTTGATGACTTTTCTATTTACAAGCCATGGTCTGGTCTAATAGGAAATGGAAAAAAAACAACAACAATAAGATATCTGAGAGTACTGAACACTATTTGACAGCTAATCAACAAGAAGAGAACTGTCAATGGGCTTGATGGACGCTGGTCATTCTGTTGCAGTACAGATGGACTTTGGAGACGGGCAGATAGATGACTCAGTCTGCCAGGACTCCCATCTTCAATCCAGCAGGAGTGCAGGCTTATAATCAAAATCTCTGTCAGGGGTCACTGGGTTGATGAGTGTGTTTGTCTGTTGGGTGCTGGGTGCAAATATAAGAGGGAGAGGGGAAAAAACAAAAACACACACATATAAAGAGAAGCCGGAGGGAGCCAAAATAGAGTGCACCAAGAAATGAAATCAAGTAACAGACAGCAGCGCTTTAAAGGAGAGCATCTCTATAAGCCACTGTTTTGTTAGTTTGCCTTTATTTTGAATAGTGAGATTATTACTAAAAAAAAAAAACCTTAATTAATAAACTACTGATCTCTAAGAGACCAGTTTTTGCCATTTATCTGGGCAGTCTTCAGCTAATTTCCTAAAGTGCCGCTGGCTGTGGAGACCCCCTCCTGTTTCCAATCATGACACTCAATAAGCAACTGACAGGACTCAGGCCTTTGGTCAGCTACATTCATTTCGCCCAACTAACTGTGACTTCTTTGTTCAGACTAAAGTCAGTGTCAGCCAGTGATGTTTCCAGCAGCAGGACCCAAAGATTTTCTTTTATATTTTGCCATTTACTCGGTTCAGCTGGATTTGACCTCTGCTATCAACACCAATAGTTTAGTGTCTGTTGACATGAGGGAGACAAAAAAAGAACGAATCAAAGCAAACGACAGCGACAGCAGCTCTACTGTGGCCATTGAAGCCTGAATCAGAAGCATTTCAAATGTTTATCCTTTACAAATGACTCAAAGTGATCATTGTACCCCTTTTAACAGAAGTGCAGACCACTGTTCTTCAGACCCCTCAAAAACAGCTGCTTCAATCCAGGCTTTGGTTCAAAATCCCAAAGCCCATTTGGACACTTGGTTAAGCATCTCAAATCACCTTGAAAGCCAAGGTAATTTACTGTAGTAGTAATCTGGTATAATAATTTTTTGGCATCATTAGGCAAAATCCATAACAATCATTCATTTGATATCAGTGGTCTGACAAAAAATTCTTCCCCTCCTCTAGTCCTTATCCTCAAACCTAAGACAATCTAGTCTAGAAAATGTGTTTTCTGTGTCCAGGCATTTCACTCTGATGGTGTAAATCCTGACTGAGTATGAGAAATCCTGCAGGAAAAGTTGATATTTACACAGAGAATAACTGCACAAACTTTAAAGTTCCCATTAAAAAGTAATCTATCACAAAAGGAACTAAAAAGGTAGATGAGAATAAACGGAAAAAAATGTCAATATCATAAAGTGCTTACAAGACTGACAAAATTGCATGATAGCATTAGCCCAGGTTGGTTTTAGAGATTGTTGTTATTTTTCTCTGTGAGAGTAAGCTGCTGATTTCATTTTGAATGGCTTTTAATGATTAGCTATTAAAAAAAGACTAACTCCTGCGCTGGCTTTCTGGCAGTGGCTTGTCAATCATAAACAGCCGTACTCATTAAGAAAGAGATGCATGAGCTGCAGGAGGAGGGCTGTACTTTCAAATCCTTAGTATTTCAACCTACGACTTCTCTCAAGTGAGAGAAACAATTGCTCAACTGTCACATTTTGCTCAGCAGAAAAACTGTTGTATTAAATAGTCCAATTTTATTTTCACTTTAATCCATGATCTCTCGAAGGCTTTGCAAGATGACATCCCATTAAGTTTAGACAGCATGCCTATGACTAAGACTTACTGTAAGGAAGAACTAAGTCTTCAATGCTTATTATAAACAGATATTAAAACGACAAGGTGAATCCATTAAGTGCAGAATACGCACTGGAGGGACACTGCTAACATAGACTTTAGGAAGCATCTATTATGTAGACAAAAAGGCTTTTTATTAACATAAAACAATAAAACTGTTTGTGGTGCACCATTTCATTTATTAAATGAACATATTTTAGCTTGCTACTACTCAATCGAACTGAAATATTGTTAATAAAATAAGGTTGTTGTAGCAGACACTGAGCAAAATGAACAATAATTTGGAGTTATGACTGCCCTCCTCTTCAATCCAAGTTCATTATTCATTCTTCTTTTAGCTCTATTTTCTTTTCATCAGCTCCTGTGGGACTTTTCTGACTATTATGTCCTAAATGCTTCAATATATTCTGAAGCAAGAGAACCTAGTTATAGTGTAATATTACTCAGACTAAAAAAAAAAATCTTTGTCTGATGAAGTGTTCACGGTGTCTGATCAGCTTGCCATCTTTCACGCTGCATGATGTCAGCAGAACAAAATGACTTTGGATCACTCTTTGAGCCTCAACAAAAGCACAGTCTGATTTTCTGTTTGCCTTTCTGTTTTTTTTTTTTACATTAGAGCTCCACATTGTGGAAGCTGTCACTCAATGGAGAAGGTAGAAATATTTTTTGATATGCTGTCTTTTTGCCTGGACGTTGTCAGGTGTTCATCACCTGTATCATGTATCAGCGTCAACTGTCATATGTCAACTCGTTTTTTGGTCCCAACAGTCTACATTTCTGCTTGATCCATTTTCATGGCTGAATCTGGAATAACAACCTTATCCCAGATGAATGAGCTGAATCTACAAAAAAAAAAGGGATTATGGTGCTAATTATCTGTGGGTTTTTCCACTGTGGATGGCTGGTTAACATTTAACTAATCCAAAGAAAGGTTGCACAGGGCTTTCACCAGTCTATTAAAATGCAGACAGCTTACTGTGGCTTGCCTTGGGAAAAATTTGTTTTAATCATAAATTAATTTTACCAATATATGATGTTGGCCCACATTTATATGAACCTAGATGCTCACTGTAAATATGACCAGCTTCATTGAGTTTAAAATATGTCTAGTAGTTTACTTCAGTTTAATTCCTTCATGCTGGAATGCCAGAGCTAATCAGTCTGTAGAGATGTTAAATAAACTTTACTTTAAAAAAAAAAAAAACAGTCATAAAGTTTGGTTAAATCCAAACAGACCATTTAGCATTTCGACAAATATAAACATTGGCTAAAACTGTTTGAAGAACAAAGAATAAGAAACAAAAAAGACTGAAAAAAAAGAACCAAGAAAATGTTGTGGCTTAATACAATTTATCCTTCAGCTATCATCTGGCCAATTATTTTCACTAATTAGATTAGGCAAAGCTTCAATGTGTCTGTTTGAACAGGGGTGTCAAACATAAGGCTCAGAGGCCAGAATACGCCCAGCAACGACTACAATCCGGCTCATTGGACGACTTTTGAAAATGTGAAGGAAGGCATCCATTCTTAAATACATTAATTAAGTCATAAAAGAAACGTTCCTGTTTTTCCCCACTATCTACTTAAGCACAAAGAGTCATGCAGACAGATTTCTTTCATTCACTACAGCAGGATTTTTTTGTCATGTAGAAAAACTGAGACATACTGTTTAACTTGCACTTATATTGAGCTATCTCACAAATTAAGTTCAAATTAAGACTGACAGACAGGAAAGTTTCACTGTGTCGGCCCACTGAAGATCAAAGTGTGCTGTATGTGGCCCACAATGTAAAATGACTTTGACGGCATGCAATGTTCAGACAATATGCAGTATTGCACCTGAATAATGCTATGTTAGATGAGCGCTATGCAAAGCTAAAAAAAACATGTCAGTAAAAGCAAAACTAACTAGATGCTCCGTTCACCACATTTCATCTGATCATCATACATCGCATTTACATGTGCAGGAACTAATTAAACCACGCAAAGAAAAACTAAGCAGCACACTCCACATTCAGAGTGCATACAAAGTGACTTTTTAAGTTTCCAAAGTTCAATCAAATCTGGTCTTGCCCTGCAAATGCACTGTGTACACGTCGATATTAACGTGTCCACTCTCTGTATTTTAAAAAGGCGGGCAGCTCGCAAGGCTGAACCCCAAATGTAATCACCAATAATGTCTACTCTTGCTCGAGGCAAAGATTAATGTGGATTCTTTACTTTTGTGAGGCATAAGTTGAAGTAGAAATACGGAAATTGTATTTTTAATAGTCTCATAATGGAAAAATCTTACGAGAGTAATACAAGACTAGAGTCGGGCTATTCTGAATGCACAGCGCGCATTCTAAAGCTGGATTGAGGAGGAAGAGGTGTTCATTTGTGAAGGTCGACCCGAGTGAAAGTCACAATTCATTTGGGAATGAGGTGAATGCACAATTCTTTTCCACAATCCTGCCTATCCTTTCTGCTGGATTTCATGGTGGCCCCTCCGCACCGAGACCGGGAGGCAGTTGCATTTCACACTTAGAGATGTCACCATGGAAACGGCACAAAGACATCTGTTGGTGGATGTTGCACATAACTTTCTGTTCTGTGTCCAAATTAAGGAGGAGCATGGACACACTTGAAAATAACAACAACAACAAAAGAAGCAAAACACAAGAGCCAGGGAAGAAAAGAAGAAGAAGCTCTGCATACGCAAACACATAAAAGACACATAAAAGTTGACCAGCATGAAAACTTACATGAAAGGTATTTGACAAACACCTCATTTGTAGCGACATGGGCTTCCTCGTGCGGTTTAGTATCGGTGTCTTACCTGATGGATGATCTCAGACACTGGCAGCTGGTCCGCGTACGAGTACACCTCTTTTTGCTCCTCTCCATTTACAGGACTGAAAAACAAAACACACAAAACAGCACGCTTTGAGCATTTACTCAAGAAAGCAAATAGCACTCATACATTTGGCTTTTGTTACGTGGAACACCATCATTCAGTAATGAAGAAAAGCTGTCAGGAAGAGTAACAGACTCAGTGTTTCCGTTGGCAGTCTGTGTGCAGCTCAGGTGTGTGTGTCTCCGACAGTCAGTTGTATGCATTTTGATGCAAATGACCTCCCCTTTTTCTCCTTCTAGATAAATTAATGAAAGTTATCCTGGAACATCAGATGAGTGTCAAAATCATCTTTAAAGTAGAGGATGTGATTGGAAGAGATTGCCTGCATATCACTACCCATCACGGTATAATTCATTGAGTCACTCACCAACAAAAATCTATACTCCGAGTAGTCCACTCTCCACATTTTCACTGAAGAAGAAGTGTTAGAAGGGCTTCAAACTCCTGAGCCCCCTGTACATTCGCAATGCACTCTGCACTAATTCTTCTAAAACCCCAGTGAACATCGATGCAGAAATCAATGAAGTCAGAGGCAGCTGCACATTCAGCTTCAACACTCATATGGATCGCTTTCATATTTGTTGTCAGCTGGTGTTTGTTGTTTTTGCTCTACGGAAACTAGCTTCTTTTGGGTTCTCATTTTACAGATTTTATATATACCCACTAGTGCTAAGTCTGTTCTTCTTTGTTTAAATTTGTGTCGTATTATAAAATTTAGTGAGTTTACAAACTGTGGAAAATTAAAATTTGGAAATAATAGCATAGGGCGACTGTGGCTCAGGGGGTTGGGAAGCGTATCTGTAACCGGAAGGTCGCCGGTTCGATCCCCGGGCTCTCTGTCCTGGTCGTTGTGTCCTTGGGCAAGACACTTTACCCTACCGCCTACTGGTGTTGGCCAGAGGGGCCGATGGCACGATATGGCAGCCTCGCTTCTGTCAGTCTGCCCCAGGGCAGCTGTGGTTACAACCGTAGCTGCCTCCACCAGTGTGTGAATGTGAGAGTGAATGAATAGTGGTATTGTAAAGCGCTTTGGGTGCCTTGAAAAGCGCTATATAAATCCAATCCATTATTATTAAAAAGAGCATTTCATCAGCTCTTGGCTGACTCTACATGACATCGACATACTGTTCCGGTTTACTTTATTCAGCTTTGTCTTCACTTCTCAGTGGTCAATTTAAAAAAACCACCAGACACGCCTTTAGTATTTCAGAATAAGGTATCCATCATTCTGAAAGAATCAGCCTAAATCAGGTTGCTCTGAAGGACAAACGTTTAAGCCCATACCTTTGCAAATGTCACAAATCACTAGATATCTGCAAGAGGATAAGTCGAGAATGGCCACAGTGTTTCTACAGTCACAATAAAATTATTTTAGTCCAACAACATGAAGAGCAGTTGATCAAACTGTGTTTAAAGGGCAAAGGCAGCGCCCTCACAAGCTACAGCACCATACACCATAAACACACAGTCATTTATTTAAATGTACATATGACACAAAATGCACCTGTAAAGTAGCTCTGTTAGGGGGTTTGTCTGAATAAATCCATGAGGTACATCAACCTGACAGTCACCGATGTCCGGATGACAGCAACCTTGAAAGTTACAAACAAGCCTAAAATAAAAAATTCTGACACAAAGTCAAACGGGGGTCAGAGCTAAGGTTTACCGTCAAGTGGAGGTTCAGGACTGACCGTCTTTCAGCAAAATTTAGGTCAGACAAAGTGAGCCACATCTCCCCTGTGAGCCATCATGACACACCTCCAGCCACTTGATGATTGAAACCTGTTCTTCTATTTGTGTCTTTCTTCACTCAAAGTTACTTTTACCCATCATTTTTCTCTCTGGCCATTTCATGTCACACTGACACAGACACACAGTCTCTTCTCGCGTGTGATGAAGAGAAGAAGGTGTTCACACAAAACAGATAGTAGTAAAGCGTATGGACTGGTAAGCAGGGAACCAACTTCCTGCTGAGCCTTCGGTGCGTGCCAAGCTTCTCTGCCACAAGAAACATGTCACTGAAAACACAGATGTGTCACCGCTGGGATCTTCCACCCTTTTTTTCCTCAACATTAGAAATGAGCTCTAATTCAATTCAAACTACTTTCTACTTTATTTTCCACAAAGACCTTTTTGGAGAGGCATTATAAGTCCTCTCTGCTTATTAAAAGGGATGTGCCTAAATTCATCCCCCCCCTCTCTAGTTCTGATATCAATGCCGTCTCCAGCTGCAGTCTTTAGGTTAAACAAATTTCCTTTTTTTTTTTTAACTCTGCCAGCAGCTCAAACAGTTTTTGCAGACACAATCCAGTCCTGCAGGTCACAAATTACATTAAGTATATTTTATACTCAATGGGATATGAATTCAGCTTAATTTGATAGTTGTAATTACTCTGGGAGCTCGTGTAGCCCAGAGGAGGACGTGTTACGGTCAACAACCACCGATGGCTGAGAGTGAGGAACTACACAATGTCATTACAGTGTTAAGCTTATGTATAACGTTGCGGATCGAGAGGGTCCATTAAAACGTCTTCACCATCAAGTGCCATTCACTTAATGTAAGGGCTTGTTCTGAGGAAGAAATTGATGTTTAGAAATGTACGACAGGATATGGAAGTGAGAGAGGCGAATGCGAGCTAGAAAATGAGACAGGCACATGTGTACACTCGCACACATGTACACATCTTCTCTAAATGTCCTCCTCCACTTGTCTGAGAGGCAGAACAAGCTGACAAAAGTGGATTAAAGCAGCACTATATTTAATAACAGCTTGTTTCCGAGGACATCTGTGATCTTCTCTCTGTGGGAACACACTGAGCTCACTACAACCCATTTTCAGGTCTTATGAAACACAATTTTCTAACTTTCGCAACGACATCTGGACAAAGGTTTCATAAAGATCCAGTTTCTGACATCGATTTAGTGATTGCTTTTTGAGATGATCCAGAAGTGCTGGCAAAAGGGTGAAGGTTGGTTTCTCAGGGGAGTGCCAATTCATGGGATTTAATACTCTTAAAGCATGCAGCATGGTTACTTTAAATATGGTTGTAAATAAAGATCAATTAGAGATCAACACTAACTGAATATACTACATTTTTTTCCTTATTTTTTATTTCAGGCATTCATCACTGTTTTCAACCATGCGCCCAGCACAGACATGTATCAGATACAGCAGGTTTGGACATCAGCTGGTCTCCCTTGTACAAAGGCTGCATGATATTCGATTGCACCATTGTGCAGGTAATAGTCTGGTGCCTCCTGCATGCTCTATCCACATAGCTCCCTCACCTGAACTGCAAAGAGTATTTTCAGAAGTGCAAACACATTTGAAGAGGACTATTGCTTGCTGTTTGCTACACGTGACAAAGGACAACTGTGGAAAATATCCCGACCCGTTTCTCCCAAACCTGTCCAAAATTCATGTGTGAAAAGGGCTTACCACAGTACAAAGATAAGCTGGTTTCAGCTCCTCGCTTTTCAAATGTGAAAACCCATAAAAATTTATTTTCTTCTATAAAAATAGCAAAACAGTCTAAAGAATCGCTTTTTCTTTTTCAAACAACAAAATCAATCAACTGAGGTAAGTGATGTTAATAAAACCCAGAGCAAACCTGTGATGCCCCCCCACCACCACCACACTAATAATTACAGCCTCAACTGCCTTATTGTTTGGCACTCTTGCTCATCTTTCTTTGATTCAAGTATAGAGAGACACTTTGCATTTTAAATAGGCATCTCTGCATAAATCTGGGCTCTCTATTCCTGAAATTCATTAGCCCTGCAAATATATATTTTTTGTGTTAAAATGAAACCTTTTCTTTCCTGACACACACCTTCTAACATTTAATCAAAAAAAAGAAAGAAAAAAAAAACAGAACATATCGAGTGCTAAGACTTTGCAAAACTGTCAAAAATTGCTTTTTTAACTCTTATTTCATGGCCAGTTATGGATAATCAGCCTTTGAATAGTCTAATTCCATTACATGTAATATTTTACACTGGTAAAACCTTGCAAACACGTTGAACCCTTCCATTCACAAAGACCCCTTAATAGGTTTTAAACATCTTCACACGTTAAATTATGAATAATTATTTATTAATGCCAACGCTGATGACTACATTAATTTAAATTATTGCAGTAATGAGGTCATGGCTATTATTTTCCACATGCTTGTATTGTAATCTCCCCACTGCTACAATGCTGTCCAGACCCAAAAGAAGCACAGAAAGCTTCCTGTCACCGCATTATCAGTCAAGTCCGAATGTGGCTGAGGAAACACCCTGAGAGGGCGTACAAAATGACAATAAATGTTGTTAGTCTTCCCAACATCAACAAAGTACAAAGACACTGCAAGCACTTTGGTGAATCAGTAAACTTAGTGCTGTTAAACTTCAAATGGATCGGGTGATTGCTGGTTCTTACATCAGAAATGGAGATAAAACGTCTCTCTCTAGGACTGAATTAGGCCAACAGCTAGCTCAATAACATTGTGTTGGTGTTTCTGTGCTGCATGAGGATCAGCAGGACTAATGTGCTGGCTGTAATCGATATTAAAGTAATAGGGGAAGTTGTGTGCAATGAGTAACTTGCGCGGGGCCACAAACAGCCAATGACTAAAATCAGTATTGTAATTGCCTCTAATTACTAATTAGCAGCCAACCACATTAGATTCTTTAATACTTCCCAGTGGTTCAATTAAAACCCAGTTAATGAAATTAATACAAAGGGTTGGGGGAGTGGTGGTATTATCATTAATAAAGTTAAATTCCCATTGCATCTTTAGGTTGAACACAGTAAACATCTGTTCCTGCAGCTTAGAGAATCAGTGTATGGAAACTGTTTGCAATAGCTGTGTGCTTCCTAAAACTCCTGATGATTGTGCTTATTATGGCATTAGTGGAGCTTGGTGATAAAGCAAACAATACATCGTGAGGCACAGAGAAAAGGTTTGACAGCTCTCTACAGCCATCTAGTGGCTCAACCTATTTATCACAAAATGTAAGCATGCACCAATTTGGATATGTGCAATTCACCACAGGGTAGCGCCACAGATCATCTAAAGCAAACACTGCTCATTACTCACTGCCACTTATGAAGACAGACTGGATTAAGTCTGAAGGCTGACAATGAAGATGCCCAATTATGAGCTCCGCTTCTCTCTGAAATAATGTTTTCAGTGTCATTATTGATTATAAAAGCAGTAAATGCGTTCTAAATGAGCAGCACCATTACCCAAGACAAACATGTCATTGGTCAACTTTACAATCAGGTCTTAAAACCACCACATGGTAGTCATAGTGACAGCCACTGAGTGCTTTAATCTTCCAGAAACAGGCCAATCAACACATCATTAGCAGAGGAATCAATATCACTGATGGGAGGTGTACTAAACAGAAATCAAAGGCTGGTTAGTTGGAAACTGAACACAAAATGAATTTGGCTGCTGGCAGTGAGGCTGGCCTAAATGAGAGTATTTTATAAGGGTCGCCCCCCCTCATGTCATCATGAAAGTACAGCCCAGCCCATGTTCAACTTCATTTCATATCCCTTTAATATCTACCTTTAATCTCCCTTTCTGTTGTTACCTTTAGTTCATTTTGAAAAGCTGGAAACAATTTGTGAACAACTTATTTTTGCACAAGTATCTTTAATGCTACAGTCACATTTGGGAAAACAGTGGTGCCAAAATAATTGCAATTGCATGCAATGAACTCGCAGTGCCATTGCCTTTGAAATGATTGTTTCAAAGAGGGGGGACAAGGTCTGCAACCACTCAACCTCGGTCCATCAAGAAGGTGATAAAACGGCAATAAGTTGGAAATTAGATGCAGTCAGATAATACAGTGATTAACTACCATAAATAGCTGAAAAGAAATCGCAAATCTGTATCCATTTACATATTCAAAGTCACATTAACTTATACTACTTAACAGATTACTTTAATTAATTGCCCAGCCAGAACCTCATAGACCAAAAGGTTGAGTGTGTTGCATTCTAGACCTCTGCTACTTTTTTGCCAAATGCAAAGTTAATCACCAGGCACCCACTGATTTTTAGTTTCTAGCAGGTTGCCATCCTGTTTTTATTCTAGTTTGATTGATGCATACCTTTTGCCATTAACAAAAAAACAAATAAATTAAACTTACTCCTCCTCCATCTGCTTGATGGGGTCAGTCAAGTTGATGGCATCCATGGTGAGCTCAACTTTGCGGACACTACCAAAGAAATCTGTGATGAGAACACTTCCAGGATCTCTCAGGAACAGGTCAGTACGATGGCCTGGAGTGGACACACACTGACTCTTTGGACACACTTTGAACTGTGGAGGCAGAGACAGCAAAGATTTCACATTAGGAATATTCAACATTGTTCTAAATTAGTGGTTTCTGTCACGTTGGATCTCTATTTGGGAGCCAGTCAGCTAGTCCACTGACAGTTGCTGAGGGAAACCGACAATTTTCTGGACAACAGATAACACAATTCCTAATTGGTTGATGGCACTCTGGATACAAGCAGGCTGCAGATGGAAACCACCAAGCTTTGTGTCCCAGTGTCCTATGCATGCAGATTCTGGATATGTATATGAAGATATCTGTTTATTCAAACTATATAGAACAAAAACAACTAACAATGTCTCTCTAAATATAAATATTCGCCTCATGACAATGACAGCTTTAGCAGCAGCATAACTTGCATGTACAGGTCAGCTCTGCACAAAGACACAATACTAGATTTATTCCTTTTTGCACCACCAATTCCAAGTTCCAGTTGCAGCTAGTATTGAGCTGTTGCTCTGGGAGGTGTGACACCGTGAGAAACAGATTAGAGGCACTGTGCCTGACATTTGTGCATGTCCTTGCCAATTACAATTTTTAGCACACTTGTTATGTTACCACTTGTGAATGAATCCTATGTGAGTTTATCAATGTGTTGTTTTCCGCTTGAAAAGAATATAAAAATCACATAACTGAGGTCAACATTATTTCCTCAGCCAGACAGGACTTGAAAAGTACAGCAAATGGCACGACTTTGCAGCTTGGATCAGGGGGGGGAAAAAAAACAAGAACGAAAACTCAGAGGGCTCATCCAGAAAATCCATAGTATTGATCCTTAATTCCCTGAAAAGGCACAACAGAGAATCTACAGAAACAGAAAAATTGGAAGAAAAAAATAATAAGCATGTGTCAAAACACACAGAGTGCCAGAGTAACGATCTGAGGTGCTTTGAGCATAACTCCGGGTGACGCAGATGAGGAGTGGCCCTTGTGGCCTGAATCGCCGCACGAGGCTAAAAGATGAAAAAGGAGTTGCTGCTGAGACTGAGTCATGGACCAGAGCAACATGTACTCACCATTTCCACCCTGATGTGTCAAAGGCCAACGACTGCAACACCGTATCAGATATTCTGTTTCAAGTGTGACCTGTGTGACTTTTATCTGACTTCTTTTGGCCCACAGACAGAGGAAGAGGACAGTACAAGAAAAACACTGCTTCAGGTATCAGCAGTGCTGATTGCCACATCCTTCCTTTTAAAAGCTGACTTTCAAAATAGTCAATCTAATAAAAATCTGCATACCTTTTTTGTTATGTTCTGTTGCAGTAACTACAAATGAATGTATAACAAATAAAACGATGGTGTTCAAAATGTGAGACACCAGAGAAAATCTCTTCCTTTCTGTCACTCAAGTAGAAGTAGCACAACTGTAAACTTAAATTTGCATTAACACCCCTAACGTATTTTAAAGAGTATAACAAGAATTTTATTTTGTGGTTCAGGAAATTGCGATTTCCTGCAAACAGGTATGAGGAAGTTGTGACCATACTGGACACACACGCTAACACAGGCTCACCAGATCATTCATGTTGGTTTTGCTTGCAGGATGGATGTCTTCAAGGAACTCCAGCATGTAGAACGTGTAACGATCCATCAAATGGACTCCTATGGCCAAATCTGGCTGGTGCTAGAATGAGACAGATTTTAAAAATGTAAAGGATAAGAATAGTTGCTAGAATGGGCGCTGTGGTGGCATTTTTACTTCTAGCTCATTAATCAAACCTCTACACTTTTACACAATGAACACTTACAGTCTTTTAAAATACACATCCACACCAACATTCACAGATTTGTATTATAAAATTCATCCCAAGTAACAATTTATGGAACTTTTTCTTTAGTTAGTCAGTTATAGTTTCCGTTGCAAATCTGTACAGTATCAAAATCTGATAAGTGTCACCTGGCATTGAAATTGAACAACGATTGTCACAGCACAAGTGTGTGAAAGGAAATGAATTAGAGACTTGTGGCAGCAGGATAGCTTCATGAGTGATATTCATTATCTTAAAGTACACAGAGGTTTCAGTTTCTGCTGTATTGCAGACAGACATTTTTTTCTCCTTTATTTATATTTGTTATATATTTTAGAGTATATTTAGTTTAGCCTTTAATTTAATTGTTAGTTATACAACTAAAACATTGGGGGGGTTGAGGTGTTTGCTGTTGCACTGTGACAGCTCAGATGGGCTCCAGTCCCCTGTGACCCTGAATAAAACAAACCGGAAAAGTAGTTTAGAAAATGGATGGATAATTTCTGTAACAATGCAGTTTCTCTTTGGGATTAATTAAGTGCTTTGTCTATCCATCCATTAATCCATCTCCAATAACGGAGGAAGTAAGAGTTTTCAACCCCCTGGGGGTGTGAAAATGGAAAATGCAAACAGCACTGACATATCACCCCCTGTTTAAATCCAATATTCACGCTTTTTTAAGGTCCACTGTGGTCTCTAACGGCTCCTAAGGGAAATATCCGGTTCTCATATTTCTTGATTCTCCGATATGTTTACAGACTAGTGTCTTACTCTGTATGCTCTTCAGTGTGGAGCAGGTAGAGGAGTGTGTTTGTTTTAAGCTTTTCCACTGGAAGCAGCTGCTTTGGACAAAACGCTGCTATAAGAGCAGAAAAAGTGAAGCAGATCAATAACGTTGTGGAGCACAAAGCTAAACACTGAATCAGGTAAATATCCCCTCACACAATCCAAGGCTGTAAATACATCTTTATCTTTAGGTTCAGTTCATCATGAAATTAAATATTAGTTTCATATTTTTTGTTCAGTCATTTGATATTTTAAATTTAAAAACGCTGTGATATAAAGCAATTATAGCTGCTTTGAAAGCTTGCATAGTATTAGCTATGTACAGCTGACAATTTGAAGTCATTAGCTGATAATGTAAAAATAATAGTGCCTGCCAGTGCCACCCGTCAGCATCGTAGTAGATACACCTATGATATCAATTTCAAAATCCTACACCATTCTTGAGTTTTTGCATTCACAAGAGTTTCAGAAAACTTGACCTCTGACCTTAAGGTCAAGGTGACTGAGATTTGAACTCGTCTAAGATTTTTAAAGCCCATTTAAAAATCCTAGGTGAACTCCTTCTTGAGTTATTGCTTTCACAAGATTCACAGAAAACGTGATGTACGGCTTCTAATCCTACGGTCAACGTCACTGAGATTTGAACTTTAGTATCAGCCGCGATACCTACCTACAGTTGAGGCCTACAGTATTAATTTCAAAATCCTACGTTGCCTCATTCTTGCTCAAAGGAGACTTACGATGCTTTCCTTCTTCCGTGATGTACATGTTGTTACAGTGGTGCGTGCCAATATTAAAATGGCCAAAGTTTTTTTTTAAAATTAGGGGCTGAATGTACAAGCAAATCCTGTAAATAAAAAAGCTCAGACTATTTTAAACAGTCCATAGAGCAACGATATGTTTGTTAGAAAAGCAGAGCCAAGCTGAAGAAATTTGGAGCAGGGGAAGGAAGCTAAAAGGCTTTTATAATCAGAAGGCTCTCTAGAACAGTCCAAAAACAAATATTTATAGCCACAATAAACCATGTCAGTAAAATTTGTTCTGTTCAGCAAATAAATAAGGTCTTCTTTGGTTGTTTGTTTGTTTGGTCTTAACTTTGTATTTATTGTATTTTTCAAAAGTAGTGTAAACATTAAAAACAGTTGGTCATACATAAAATGTAGTTTGGCACTATTTAATGTCATAAAATTGATATTTTTAAATGTCCCCTCATCACAGTCCCTTTCCTTGAAAAATGCTTATTTTTAGATATTAAAAGACTCATTATTCATAAGTGTTTATGTTATATTCTGCTAATCCCCTATTTGGCCATTTCAGTGTTTTTACAGTGGTTCTGTAACTTACACACACACACACACACACACACACACACACACACACACACACAACGCACAACTGAGCACAGTTTTAGATTGGTCCATCAACAGTGCAAAGCAGAGAAAGAGTGAGCAAGTTTCCCCCCCTCAGCTCCTGCCCTCACTGCCTCTTGAAGACTTTTCAGGATTTTTCTAACTAAATTATGCAGTGGAGGGATTTGCACTTTAAGCTATACGTCTCAAGCAAAAGGTCAGTGTTGTGTAAAATGTGGAAGAAGAGGGGGGGAAAAGAAGCAGCATTGTTCTTGTATTTGAGTGCAGTGCAGAGCTAGTAGGTTTCTGATAATTATTAGTGAGATGAAGAACTTGTAACATGTCACATTTCTTGCAGACCTTTCTTAGTTTGAATGCTAAAAGAGAGAAGACATTTGAATAAAAATTCAAAAGTGCAACACTATTTCAAGTAACACTGACTGGTGTTGCAGGGGGGTGAGAGCGTATGAACACAGAAATCAAGCTAGTGCAATGTGCTATGAAATCACACTGCTTATTAGAGAATCTGACAAGCTGATGGATGATTTTTAATTCATCTTCCACGTGAGGGAAGATAACTCACCGACAGGGAGTCTTCTCCAACTTGACTGCTGGCCAAAGCCATGATGTTTGGAGAGTAAAATCTTTCATACATGGAGGCGCCTTGACAGGTGTCAATGATGAAGAGCAGCTCGTTGTACCTGGAGACAAACACACGCACACACACGAACAAACAGAGGATCATACACATTCTCAAACAAAACTGATGGGAGAATGCACAGCTGGCATAACACTCATCCATTTGTTCCAATAAACAGATATTACACAAACCTTCTAACCATCTTTCATATTGCAGTTACCATGGTGACCAAGAAAAACCAACAGCTCCATTCAGTCCTGCTAACACTCCCATGCACACAGCTTAACCACCACCCCCTTCCTTTCCCTTCCCTCCATCCTCCTTTCCTACAAAACACTACATTTCACTACAACTTCTTTCCCCTGTTTAGACAAACATGTAGAGACTGTCACATCCAGTAGACTTAATTGAGGTGGTTTGGGGATGATAAAGGGAGGTCTCTTCGGTGGCTGTAATTTAGCAGTTCAACCCTGCAATTATCACATCAGCATGAAAGCTGGCGTCACTGAGCTTTTATCCAGTAGCCTGGAGCCTGACTGTAACCCAGACACTCACCGTGGATGATAATGGGTTTGGACAACAATAGAGGCACTCGCAGCAGCAAGGTGAAAGCTCATTTACCATCTCGTGATTTACAAATTAAGCAAAGCAGTGGCTTAAATAGTAACCCCAATTACAGAACAAAACAGCCTCTACTTTTAGAAGAATTTAAGAAAACATGACAAGTTCAAGGTAATTTCAAGAGTACTAATACAGAGAATGCTGTGCTAACACTTTGTAATCCCTAGCTTATCCCACATAGAACACGATCACATGGTCTAAAGTATAAAGTTAAAATAGATAATGAAGGCCACAAGGGACAATACGATCTATTTACTAAGTTTAACAATTAGTTTGTTTCTTTTTCTACTCCAGTTGTACTCATAAAATTTCCACCTGAAATGATTCCTTAGTTAATTCATTCGCTAAGGGGTGTCAAATTCAATTTGACATCACGCTGGGAAATGAGAACCACATTAAGGGTGAGATCAAGTTTACTGAAATTCTTTAATTAAACTGAAAATGCAAGTCCAATATAGTCTTCACATGTACAAGTTAGCTTAAGTGAAGCCCAGGCCAAATAGTGCAATGTTTATAATGCACTCTCATTACAGTGGTTTGGAGCATTTAACATTAAAACATATATCAAAATACTGAATCTGTAATTTTATTTTTCCATATATTTCTACAAATCTTACCCAATGGTTGAAATGTGAAATTTCACAAAGTTAAAAGTAAAACCTCTAGATTTAGCTGGAAGAAACCCAGCTACAGTAAAGCGTACTGTACAGTATGCTTTAGTCATTTTCACCGTCCTTGGCTCCGTTTCTGTGCTGATGTGCAGATTCAAGGCAAAGCAAATTTCATTCTTTGAAAACAGCAGTCATCTCAATGCAAATATACACAGGTCACTCTTTATGCCTTCAGAGTCAGCTTTTATATTCTGTGCCATTTTCTGTGAGCTAGCTTGTTATTTTGCAGCTGCAGTGTGCCCGTCTGTTTTGTGTGGCATACAGACACAACGAAGGGGGACGGATGTGAAGTGATACGCTAGCCGGATTAAACTTTGCAAAGGACCAGATATGGCCTAGAAACCTTGTGTCTGCCACACACGCATTAGCGAATCATTGTTCCTAGATTTGTCGTTGTTTATTTTACTAACAAAACTAGACATCCAACAGCTTCAGCTTCAGCTATACATAAAAAATTGTTAGTTTCAGACCGATTGATAACAATTCCTATTGATTTATTAATTACTCACTAAATATGGCCCAGCTAAATGTTAAAACTCATGGATAGATGGTTCAACCAGTTAAAAATTATTATCTGTGAATATTTTCCTGCAAGTTTTTGCTTCCATCACGAATGTACAATAGGCAAGAAAAATACTTAAACAATGAAATTTAAAGATTTTTTAAATATATATATGGTTTCATGGCCTTCAAGTTAGCCCTTTAGATTCACACATTTAGCTCCTCATTTAACTACTGTATTCCTACTGCATATAAAACTTAATCTACAATTTACAGGCAGGAAAAAAAGAACTATCAAGGCTACAAGTTGATGTTCCCAATGACAATTGAAAGCCCAGCACTACCTTTCAAGCTGAGCTGAAGCTATTTTTAAAAAAGCCTGAATAGAGAGTATACAGTTTCACTGCACTGACAGCACTCTTTCAACCACTGAAGTCATTTGATACACACAAAGCCTTGATAAGAGAATCAATTTAACGTAACACACCTCTGATAATCATCTGTTTTGCTTGTTATAAAGAATCAACAGAATGGGAACCTCCTGATAAAGTTATAATACTCATAGGCTGTGATGTTTTGTGCTGTTAAATGCTTGTTGGCATGCTGCACAGCTAAATGCCCTGCAGGGCAAAGAAAAAACAAGTAAAGTAGACCTGACAAACGGGATTATTTGAAGTCACTTTTCAGTTTATTTACCTTCTTTTCTGCCACATCTGCTCAAAAGCATCTGCCAGTTCCACATTACTAATCTCCTCAGAGTCCTGGAACTTCAGAAAGCCATTCCCACCGTGGCCTGTTAATCAACCACAGATTAAAAATAATTAATTCAACTTTGTTCAACTTTAATTACTTCAACTTCATAGGTACATTTTTTCCCTTTAAGTACCTGTCAGGTATATGAGGATGTTGCTTCGATCATCAGAAAGGAGGCGTTTAGAGCGTGGTGTGCTGGGAGGCAGGCGCCCAGTCAAAACTCGCAGGAAGTTCTCCACAGTTACCTAAGGCACACACGGTACAAACCTGTGGTCATTTTCCATCTATGTCTCTGACAGGAAGTAGTAAATTAGTTGTTAAATAAAACTATTCAAAGATTGAAACTATACAAAACAAAAGCCAGTAAAAAGAAAAGTTAGTGATGAAAAGTCAATTCGTAATATTTAAATTGTCATTGGTAGGATCAGTAAGTGACCACATTTTTGATCTTCTCCACTTATCCTTTAATTAAAATTTGATAATCAGCTCCTATCTGAGTTTTTTTTCCTCTGTTTTTAATGATTATTGGTTTTTGTTGCACATGAATGTGGTGTGACAGCAAACAAAGACGGGCAGTACAGTGTCATTGTATTTTTAAAAAGGCACAAAACAGAGTGAGTCGTCAAAAAACAACGAACTCGCCTTAGTCCATAATAATCAGAAAAATAAATAAAAACCGGCTGGGCCCCATTTTAGACGTGTAGATTATAAAATGTCCTGGTCAATAAAAATGTTGCCTTGGACATAATCCGTTTCTCCTCAAGTTATTTAACGCAACACTGAAGGTGAAACACAGCATGTGAGACTGTCACATAAATCACAGTAAATGTTTATATAACAAGCTGAGCAGAATCAAACTGTCTGGGGTAGGAAAATATTTACAATTTATGCCAAACAGTCATGAACATTTGTGATTATGCTCAAGCGATTCATCTTTTTCTGGCTTCAAAATACCCAATTTTTGCATTTAGACTTTAAAAATCACTCCGGGCTTGTTGATACACATAAGGCTAACATAAGTGTTGATTCACAGAATGAAGGTGAGGTGTAAACACCTGAACTGACCTCATAACCTCGATAGTCCACTTCCACATCGTCACCATACACATTCAGCTCCATGTTTTTGTGACTGAACACTGTAGCAGGTTTGGGATTTCTGTGGTTACAAGCCATGTCATCAGCCAGCATCAGAACTATGTGGCTGGTGATTAAAAAAAGAGAAAAAACAGAGTTAATATGATGATATTGAAATAAGTAAAAGGACAATGGCTGCTATCAAACACGTTAACTGTTATGTTGTGAAGGATAATGCATTTAGCCTGAAAATTAAATTGCATCAGTTTGTTTATTGATCTTACAGTTGGACCAGCTGTTGAATATTTTGAAACTTTTGACATTTGGACATCAAGAGCTCCCACCAATCATACAGTCAATCGCTAACCAGCACTACCACCACAAGTACTGTGTAACTCTCCAGAGCCAGGACTGATTTCTGAAACTTTACTATCTCGAAATAAAATGAAAACTTATTAGTATATGCACACTTGTTCATCCTGTTGCCACTGATGCCCTTCTACACAAAACAGACCTTGTCAAACGTATTTGCCATTTTCTCCACGTTGGATGTTTTATTTTACCGCAGCTCTCCATCTGGGAAAGGCCCCAGAACAAACAACAAACCAAAGTAGGCTGTGGAAAAACTTTTGAGCACTCACTTAATTCATTTTGACACAATACAGGCACCTTGTAGAATGGACAGCATGTTCTGAGGTGCTCTCAGCTAAAGCCAAGCCTAACAATGGACAGCACCATAGACTCAGTAAACTTATTCAGAAGTCCGCTTCGGCCCCGGATGTGGCCGTGGACAATCGATGTGCAATAATAGTGAGCAGGACAATGTCAAAACTCTTCTGAAAGTCCAGTAAAATATCCCATACCCTCTAAACAATGTTCTGGCTAGCCAGGGGTTCAGCCAAAGACTAACAGCATGAGCTTCTTCATTGCAGTAGCTGTCCAGTTACACAGTTCCTCTTTCTACTGTACCTCTTTTTAATAAATTTTTGAGCAACTTTTACAAAACACTTCACCTGCTGGGATGAATAAATTTCTCCCTTAACTACTGAATACACAATGATAATTAAAAATGATTGTTCAATTACATCTAAGATTAATTAATTGATAGTCAGAATACATATTTCTTTCAGAAAGCAACCGCATAATATGCTATATCTTGTTAAATCCAGCAATAATAATTATTATGCCGAAAGACTATTTATGTTATTGAGTCTTTAAAATATCTCCAAATGACTGCAACTGTCACATATTTTCAACACTGATTACTCTGGAAAATATAATGTCTAATAAACTGGTTTCTCTTCATCATGCATGAAAATATTGAAAGGTCCCCATTATAAATTTACCTACTGATCAACTTGACCTCTTCAGAATGTCTAAAATCCAAAAATATTTCATTAACTACCATATAGAACCAAAATATGTTTCAATTCCTCAAATTTTAAATGTCTTTGCTATTATAAGTGAAATTTATTTTTATACCTTACATGATTGTGTGACTCAACAACCTGATTAATCGTTTTAATACTACAGTGACCAGGATATCTAATTTCTATTTCTATGCTTATAATACACAATGGTCCTTTTTGGCTAAGCTTAACAACCTCAATAGCCTTTTCGGCCTCAAATACCTCATCTCAGTCCTGGCAAAATTTAAATTCTCGTGTTCGCCCTAAAAACTTCTGTATAGAGATGGTAAGTGGCCTGCATTTGTATAGTGCTTTTCTAGTCCCTAAGGACCCCAAAGCGCTTCACACTACATTCAGTCATTCACCCATTCACACACTGGCGATGGCAAGCTACATTGTAGCCATAGCTGCCCTGGGGCGCACTGACAGAGGCGAGGCTGCCGGACACTGGCTTATATGTAGGTGCCTGCTAAAAACTAGCAGGCACCTACATATAAGCCCTATTCTTATTTCCCTTCATTGGATTCCAGTGAAATGCAGAATGCTTTTTAAAATTATTATTAACAACATATAAAGCCTTTCATTGCCAGTCCTTCCAACTGTCTGAACAGGGTCTCTTAAGCATGCTCTTATATTAGAAGCCACACAAGTTTTCATCAGCCTATGAAATGGGCTGAATCAGTAGTTGGTTTTCCCTAATATTTCTCCCATTATATTTGACCATAGCAACACCATATGCTTGTTTGTTTGTCTGTGTGCTGGAACTTATATTCTTACCTTAAATGTGTGGTTTTATCCCGATTGTGAAACACTTTGCAACTGTGTGTTTTAAAAGGTGCTATACAAATCAAGTTGTTATCATTGTTATCATTATTACCTGTCAGGGATGCCCAGCCTCTTCACACTTCTGTACACAGATAGAGTATTTGCCACATGTCGGTAGTTGAACCAGAATCTGGATGTGCACACCTGTTAATAAAGGCAAATGAAGAAGATGCACATATATGTCTTCTGTTGTTCCTAACATCATCTATTAGCATTTACTCAACCTGAAAAATAAAAGAACACTCACCAGAACGGCCCAATTGTTCGTATGCCCACTGCTGAAGAACTGCCCTGCGCTATTCTGTGAAATAACCGAAAGAAGGTGAATAATTATCTATGTTTTATCGGGATTTGGGGTCATATAAGCAAGTATATTCAGCATCAACAAAGCTAGCATGACAGCAGGGCTGGCTAACATGACAACGATGTTTCTACCTAAAAATGCAACAAACCGAAGGGAAAATCGGAGCTACGTGAAAATAATAAACTCACCTCGATGTTGATGCTGTTTGCTAAAAAGCATGCTGAAAATAATCCTAATAAAGTTAGTATTTTCATTGTGCAGCTCTGTTAGCAGTGGACATGTAGGAAGTGAAAACCGGTGGATCCACTCAGCAAGTGTTTCCGGTGGCAGACATTTTCAAATAAAGGTTTTGACGTGGAAGATGAGAAGGAGAAAATGGGGTGGGGGTTAGCAGTTTTAAAACAAATTGAGTTTTCTCTCGAGACTGCAGGTTTAATTGTCATTTGTTTCTGATCAACTTAAGTGCATATCCATTGTATATCTAATATATCTAGGCTCGTGTAACACAGCAGTAAAACATACTTACAACATATAACAAGAAGAGCACAAACATAATACGTTTATGAGAAAGAAAAATAAAACATTAATATAAATAAAAACTTAAATCTCTTGCTTTCTTATTATTTTAGAATAACTAACCTAATTCAAGTTAATCCTGTTCCCATAACACTGAAGGGTCATGCTTGCACGCACGGGTTAATGTTAGGTTTCCTCCTTCAAATGACGGAATTCGTCACCATCATATGAACGTTTTCTAGATCTAGTAATTAATGTAAGTAAATGAAGAAAAAAAACAATGTTTCTGTATAAAAAAAAAAAAAGCTGGGGTTTATTGGAGAAATTTATAGACATTTAAAATGTTTTTAACTTTTTTAGTTAATCAGTTGCAGCAGTTGTGTTAGTTTCTCCTCCTCCATACGTTAAGCTCATGTTCTCTGTTTCTTTATTTCCTTGTTTGTTTTCTTGTCTGCTGTTTTGTTTTCATTGACATCAATTTTTAATTCCAAAGAAAAATACAAGAAAAAAAACCCTTTGTGTGGCTGCTTATTTTAAGTACAAGAGGCTGCAGTACACCTGACATCATCATCATTCTGCCAGATATGACTGGTGCCCTGATGAGAGAAAGAAAAGCAAACTAGTCATCAAATGATGCTGACAGCTTCATATTTAGTTGCCCTTGTTAGCTAATTGGTCAGGGACTCAGTAATGAGAAGTGACAAGTATATTACAGGCAGTAGACATTAAAAGTCTCGTGGTGTTACTGCTAAAGAAGTCAAAGGGGCCAGGAGCCCATTGTGAAATAGAGCTACATATCTCCCATGCAATTCTAATGCAACTTCACAACCCAGCACACAGAATATTTTCTGGGAAACCAGCAGCAAAATCAGTTTTGACACACTGCAGGGAGCCTTTGCAGGACTGCCAGCCACTTTAATCCTCGGTACGTCTCCTGATTCTGCAACTTTTTGACCTGCTTCCTCGAGTAGTGTGCCTGCTAGGAGCTCATCGTGGTAATGTCCTTTGTTAACTGCTCTAACAAAGCAGGTCTCAGCAGCGTACATCTGCTCAATACTCAACTTCAGTCCATAAATTAACATTTTATTTTCAAGCTGCAGTAACTGATTCTGGTATGAAATGGTAACAAGTTAGAATGATAATTGCTTTCTAAAGCATTGATGTGACTGAACTAATCTCATGTTATGTGATATAACATGAGATTGTGATTCCCCCAGGGATCAATAAAGTATTCTGATTCTGATTCTGATTCTGATTCTGATAACAAACAAGTTCGTTGTGATCAAGAGGATTAGAGGCATTAAGAATCAAATCTTATGGAACAAACCAGGAAATCAAAGTGACCTTCCTTCCTGAGTTGCCTAAAAAAGCTGGACTGACTGTCCACTGGAATCCACCTTTTGCTGAACTTTTCAACCCAACCCAAGCAATTTAAGAGATTATCCAGCTATATTTAGCTGCACCTAGAGTTAGGTTGTTCGGGTTATTCCACTCTGTTAGTCAATTCAATAATGCCACAATTTCAAAGTTGTCTTTACAAAAGTCCAGTGAGCTTCTTTGTATGTATGAATGTGGAGTTTTAAAGTCATTTATTTACAAAGCTATTTACAAATGCAATAAAAATGTGAAGTAAAGACTGACACACATTTCAGTGGGCATTGGGATATGTTGCATGTTTTATTCTCTGGAAGTAATGGAAATATTAAGAAAATCAGACCACCCCCACCCCACCCACTGGAATAGACTGCAGCAGCCTAATTGGATGAGGGAAGGAAAATGGATAGATCCATCCATTTAGTTTTCTGGAGTCAATAAATATCTCTCATTTCAGAAGAAGTAATAATAATATATATAATAATATAATAATCTCACACTATTAAGGATTGTTAAGGTATTAGTAAGGCATTAGCAAGTGGTAAATTCATCTTTTATATAGCATTACTCCTCCCTAGTTTGCCATTTATAAATATATATTATTATGACTAGGATTATGGTTATGATTATTACTAGCACTGATGTAGTAGCAGTTATAGCTGTAGATGGTGTAAACAGTAAACATTAACAGTAACATTAAACACTTGCTTATACCTTACTAATGCTTAATAAAATGCTACCAAAGTAAAACTACTCCATTACAAACACTGAATTGAAACATAATTATTTTAGTAACAAAATATGGTTACTTAAAATAAACATATTCAAAATTCATATTCTTATGGACTCATATCTGATAAGCTATTTTTTTTTTCAAAAGTTTAAAATAAAAGTAGAATATTTCAGCTACATGTAGACGCTACCATATTTGATCCGCTTTATACCATCATTTTATAACCCACGATCGAATTAATCATGAATCAACACCAACTTTCAAGACTGAGGAGGAACGATTGAAAATGTAGAGCAGAGGCGGTGCGTGCGCTTTTTGGCACACGGCGCGCAACCTCTGTGCCAACCCAACGTCAAGGCACATACACGCATACACACAAACAGTCGGTGCGTGCTGGAAGCAGTCCGCTGTAGAAGGGAAGACGGACAAGCCACGCATCTGCATCAGCGAGCGAGGAGGGTGGCGCGGTGGAATTGCCTGCAGGAATTCAGTTGTAAAGTACAAACAGGAGGCAAAAATGCGCTGAGCGAGAGTCTGTCCGGAGCTCAGTTATTAACCAAAGATTACTGCACCGAGTCGTCTGAAGAAAGGAAAAGAAAATCAAACGCTTTGGAGAAGTTGTCATTTCAGAGGATTTCCGTCTAGAGATGAATACCAACGATGCCAAGGAGTATCTCGCGCGGCGGGAAATACCGCAACTATTTGAGGTGAGAGCTGGTGCACGCTTTGAAGAGACAAACTGGGTATGTTTCGCGCTCAGGGAGAGTACACTAATTCATGTTCCATGCATTGCAAGATGCATGACAGAGTCACGGTAAAGATTCTTCCTTTACGTTATCTGACGGTATAGAGGTGCGGATCACGTGGGCTGAAAGCGTATTTCAGGATTAAACAGTAGCTTAAAATAAGAGGGGAAATCATAATTTTACAAACTCCCTCGTATATATATAACTGCTATTGAAGTCTGCTGGGATATTACGTAAATACGAAAGTTACAGATGGTCATAGCTGGTGAAAGAGATACAAAGTCCGATTAAGTTGATTAATTCCTAAGCAGAGACACATATCAGAGCTCACAGGAATATGATAATGAAATATATTCTTTCTCCTGAGGGGATGCTAAATTGGCTCATCCTCTTAATTACACTCATTCCCCTGCTGCAGTCAAGCTAATGTATGCAAGCAATCAGTGCCTGTTTATTTACAGTCAGTTCAAATTACATTGAGCACTGAAGTGGCACATCATCGTCATCATCATCATAACTGCCTTTGCCTTTCATTCCTTACACTGCTGCCCCGTAACAGTGTATTCATTATCAGAAAATGAGCACATCAAATTGTTTTCAGGAAACTTCACAACGTGCTGCTGGTGGGAGATGTTAGTGAGGGTGGAGATGAAATCCCAGAGGAAGGTATTGTTTTGAAAACAGGATCGAGAGGACAAATGTCACACAAACATACGCTTGTGTTTTGGCTGTCGAGTTCGCTTTCATATTCATCACAGTCAGTGCTGCTCGACAATAACACCAAGGTCATCAGGGGTATGTGTGTATTTGTCAGGCTGAGGCCAATTTCATGGACTTCTGGCAAAATGAGATTTTTATTGCTCTGGTGGAGCCGGGCTAAGGCAACCATGCTCTGGAGTTCGAAACTTCCCCTCATTAAGGTGGTGTGTTCAAGCACTGCCACGCTGTTCCACAGCAGCACATCGTAACAAAGCTGCAGCACTGCCACAGTGAACATCCCTTCTCTAAATATTGTATGAAACTATACATCATAATATCTTCCTCCACTGTTTCCTCCAGAGCCTGCTCACAGGTCTGATGTACTACCGGCCCGATGACCCCATTGAATACTTGGAAGGCTGTCTGAAGAAAGCCAGAGAGCTCGGAGGACCAGAAAAGGTGCGGTGGGATACTTTTGTGGGCCAGGAGAAGAAGTCACTTCCTCCTCTCAATGGAGGCCAGTCACGCAGGTCCCTCTTCAGAAATGGTGAGGAGGCAATGAAACAGATTAGAGCTTAAGCAATTAGTTGCTTGGCTGATTTGTTTAAATGCAGCCGTTTGATTTACTTAAATACATTTTTCTCTTGCTTTCGTTGGGTGAAAATTTAACCTACAGGTTTGTAACCACTGTGTGATCAGGCTCTGGGAATGCTCTATTTTATGTCTTTAGTTGACTAAAAGTCTTTGGCAGATTAATTGGCGCTGCGTTTCATCCCATTCTATTTTTGGCAAAGTTTCTTGGCACAATAAAAGATGCCAGCATTTCTACTTTTTGGCTCCTGCCTTCTTTCTAAGAAGCCGACAGCAGTGCACATCTTTATTTCACACCAATCTGGGTCCCTGCTTGATGAGAAAGGCGTTTTGATGTTTGTGCTGAGCCCAGAAGCTTCACTGTACATATACACTGTTAAAACTGTTACCACTGTCTTGGAACGAGAGATAGGAAAAAACTTTCAGAGCGCAATGAGAGAAGATGCTTTTTATTCCGGCACTTTAGTGCAAACTATAGCCGTACTTCACATAGATTTTAGACACATAGATAAGATCATATACATCCAAACCACATCTACAAAACTGACTAAAATTTTTGGAAGGAAACCTTCCTGCTTCCTGTTCAAAGACAGCGCGCATAGATCAAAACAGTGCTACCAACACACTGTCCTGTGGAATACACGTAGCTAAATATTAGTCTGAGCAGGAATATGAAAAAAAAGTCTCTCCATTCATCAGTTATTGATTCCCAGCAGGAAGTCCCATATATGCAAAACTCTGTTTGAATTTGCAAAGCAAAGTGGAGTTCAGTTACAGCTGTCGTAAGCTAATGACTTCTTCCAGTTCAGCCATTCACCTTTTCTTTGAAGCGCAGCAGGAATGTACACAGCAGGGACCCATGAAAACCAAAACAAATTTCACCCATGCCATGCAGATAACACAGATGTATAGATCTACAGTTCATTAGTTCAAAAACATTTTGTGACGACATTTTATTTTTTTATATTTGACTTCCTCTTCTTGTAATATTGTGGCAAAAGAACCTGGAAACTTTGCCTGCTGCAGTGTTTATCTCCTGGGAACTGTAGGCTAAATCAGGGTTGTTGATTTCTGTTGCCTTTGGCTGATTTTTGAAGCTCAAATTTGACAGCCTCCAAAATGAAAAAATAAATATAGCTGCAAGGGAAGCCCACACTCATTTATTCTTATCTTGGCATGATTACCTTACTGATATGTTGAAAGTTTTAAGTTGTGGCATGTTAAGTTAAATGAAACTGTTTTAATTTTAACAAGCGGAACTGTTTACATAAAACATCCTCTGGTCTCTTCTGATGCAACGAGTGCATGCATTGTCATGTGTTGTCCTTGCTACTAACTGTATGGTCAATCCAGTTACAGTCACATGAAAACTATAACAGCTCCTGCTTCTGTTGGAGAAACTTGCACTTGTTATTTCTGTCTTTGCTAACTGTGTTATTGTTGTCGAAGCTGTATAATTGATGCTTTCATCACCAGAGACAGCAGGACAATTACCAAACCGAATGTAGCAGCTGTGTTTAAATTCATCACTCTAACTGCTTCATCTCTAATTTACTGTTTGTTGAAACAGACATGATTTATTTGGGGGTTTTCTTCTGAAATGAGAGTCTGAAATAAAGTCACAACTGCACATATAAAAAGACAGTGCAGACTTGTAGCATTGTTTAGCCGAGTAAATCAGCAGACACGAATGGTTTGAGAAGTTCATCAACACACAGATAAAAGCCGGCCTGTTTTGCTTATTTAACACTTTCTATGTGTGTATGTGTTTGTCTGTGTGTCATAGTGTTGCCAGACAGCCCCAATTTCCCCTACAGACGGTATGACCGCCTCCCTCCCATCAGCCAGTTCTCCATCGAGAGCGACTCTGACCTGTCGGAGACGGCGGAGCTCATAGAGGAGTACGAGGTGTTCGATCCATCCAGACCACGACCTAAAGTCATCCTCGTCATCGGTAAAGAACCATTACAACAGACAAAAAAAAAATACCCAAAACAAGCAAAGCGCAGTTACTGTAACTATAAATAGCATCCACTCACAAAAGAATGAGGAAACTTTGAGGCAAAATCAGGGTCAGGCTATTTTATATTATTTTCCTAATCTGATGTATTGGATTTCAAGCACTCATCCAGATTCTTTGGTGAATCATGCTTTCCACTAGATAATAAACAGCAATTAAGATGCTTTCTGTTTGTGTGTTAACAGAGGATAACATTGCTGGGACTAGAGCTGCATCCATTTGTACTAAAAGATCAGCAAAATTACAGAGTGGAGGCTTTTATTTGCCCTGCTGATCTAGAAAATAATGGCCTGGACAGGAAACTATGAATCGGGCTTAAACAATTACCAGAGTTTTTCCTGGTATTTAAATACCAGAAAAACACTGGCAACATGTTTTTCCTGGTATTTAAATATGACTCCACCTCTCTACACTAGTGTCAGCAGGGTAGATCTTATGTCATGTCACTCACTATGTTAGACACTCACGCTCTCCTAATCTGATTTTCCTGAAGTGCCTCCATTAACCTGTCAAATGCATTCATTAATCTTATAAATTAAGTGTGGCAGCTGCACAGTGAGAGTAATGACTGTTTCGGCTAGACTGAAAAAATGTTATTTATGAACTCTTTTTTAACATAGTTTATTAGAGCTTTTTAATTAAGCACAAAAAGCACTCCAGTCTCTGTTAAGAACCTTTTAACGATCCTCCGCCGTAGTATGTTTCGCTCTGGGATTTTCACACCCTGTAGAGTGGACGATAGTTTTTTTGTACTTGCTACACAAAGCTGGTTCCGATCTCTTCTCCGTGAGCACACTGTGGCCTATTTTAAAGGGGAAATAAACAGGGTGACATCAGCTGTCATCTCTGTAGAGGATCATGGGAAAATGTTTTGTCTGTCAGGTTCACGAGAGAGACAGATTGACAGATGCGTGTCATTGAGAGGACTGTGGGAAAGACTGGGTCAAAGATAACAGAATAATCCAATGTAAGATGAGGCATACATTTGCTACACTGGGATCCTTTACAACTGGCAAGGAATTTCAAATGTTTCAGGCAGCTCAACAAATATCTCCCAAAATAAACTGCTTCTGTGCAGTTTCGCATGTATTTTGTCTGCAAGTTAAAGGTACAGAGGCTATATTTCCCAGGGAGAAAGAAAGTTGGTGTGGGATAAATTCACTCTGAGAGATGGAGAAGGATGTAAGAACGAGAGGACAGAAGAGAGATTATTTGATGAGATTATTTTCATTGATAAGGACTTGAGAAACTGGAAATTTAAAGCTCAGGTGATGTTCTATTCTTAAAATAAAATCAGATTTGGATCTTCTGTATGCCTGATGTGCTGTTTTGAAATTATTTGAAAAAAAAAAAACTATACAGTTTTGTATAATATAGAGCAGGTTAGTATGCAATACTGTGGCAAAGTTTACCCACTATGTTCGAGCGATGCAAGGTAGACTGTGGTGTTCATGGCCGATGTTAGCGTGCATCAAGAATAGCAGTGGGACAGGAATCCTACTTCAACCCCTGGAGCTGACTGAGAATGCAAAGACACTGCATGCAGAAGAGGGTCGTCAGTCACAAGTTAGGTAGCTTTCTATGCATACCATTTCATCTGCTTCACTTTTCAGACGCCTTTTGCATCAGACCTTTACATGATGAGACAAAATAGTCATAGGATTGAGGATAACCTTCTTCTCTAAATATATTTGTGATTTTGTGCTTATTGCACACATACTGTACACATGGATATTTTGGGCACAGCTTCCATCTTAGCTGAATCTCAGGAGCCTTTTGTTTAAAGCATCCCGAGGCCTTGATTGCTGTAGTCCATTGTGATATAAACCCTACACCACCCAAGAATATTCTAATTATGATAACTAATTATAAGATGAACCCAGATACTGCCTGCCTCTGATGTCAGTGTTGAAGAAGAGATTTGCTGTTTCACTGAAACTCGTTTTCAGAATTTAAATCTAACCACCAATTTTCACTTATTTTCTTCACTTGGTTGCACACTCTTCATCTTTTTAAAATCATTTCTTAAAGTGGCTTCACCTTTCTTCACTCTGGAATGGCTTTCAGACTTTGGGGCATGCACCATTTCTGTGATAACACTCAAACAGCACTCAGGTTGTCAGGCCTGTAAAATCCAAGTGAAATCTTTTAATGGGCTGAAACCTAACAAATTGTGTATAATGTTTGTCTTGCGGCAATTAAACACATGAATGATAATGATTAGATTTCATTATGGTCATTTTAACTCAAAATGTGTGTTTTACTGAACTGGGATTATTTTATGTGTAAATCCGTGTTGCTCTAAGACAGCATATCCCTCCTCTGCACGTCCGTATCCTGTTAAAACAGTGAAAATGATTATTTGTTATCAAATGTAGGAGGTTCACACATACCTGTTTCAGACACACACACACTCCCTTCTCCCCCTGCACACACATATACCATAACACACAGTCATGGAGAGACACATAGCTCAATCCCAAACACCCTCCCACTTACGTGCAAACACAAGCAGACTCCTGCACACACACAGTCTCACAAACCCTGAGTATCTCTCACTCATACACACACGCGCCTACGCTAGCACGCCCACACGCATAATGTTTCACACCTTCTCGCGCGCACACATGCACACACAACAAAATTTTCCCAAAACATCAACAGCTCTCCCTTTGTGCCTAGGTGGCCCTGGCAGTGGCAAAGGAACGCAGAGCCTGAAGATTGCCGAGCGCTACGGCTTCCAGTACATGTCTGTGGGCGAGCTGCTGAGAAAGAAGATGATCCACAACGCCACAAGCAACAGAAAGTGGAGCCTGATCGCTAAAATCATCACCAACGGAGAGCTGGCACCACAGGTAGCAGAGACACAGAGAAGGAGAGCGGGTGAAGGGAGGGGGTGACACAGAAAGAATATGAGAAGAGGGATGAATGCCAAGCCTGTCCAATCACTCTCAGGTCATTATCACAGCATGCGTGTAACAAGGGACTAATTAGCAGCATCCATATCACAAGCGTGTTGGAAAGAGGCTTTTCTGTCCGTCTTAGGAGCATCCATCTTTGCAGGATAATTATTGTGCCTGGGAGGAAAATCTATAGAGACCATCCTTTGGCTGTTGGAGGTCCACTTTTTTAATCACTATACAGTGCAACACGTGTTTAACATGAACCCTTTCTGTCCCTGTGCTACAACAAGGTTGTATCTGTTATTGAAAGGCACCCTGCCCTGTTTGGCACATTCATTTGGGATTAAAGTAGATGTAACATTTGTTGTGGTTCATTTCTGTTGCATCAGATTTCCATCTGAACATTTTACAAACTGGCTCAATAACATCAGAGGCTCATTGTTGTAAGGCTGTTTTTTATGCTCTGTAGTTTTGATTAGTAGGCGTTTTTCAAATCTTACTCTGGTCTAGTGATTTGGACACAGAGATTTATTGTATTTCAAAATTCTCTCAAGTATCTCTTAATCATCGAGCCCAAGGTTGTCCATTTTTGGCTTTGCAGTTGTGGAGCTGTTGCAGATTGAACTTGAAAATACCTCTTTTGAGGGGACAGTTCAAAGAATTGGTTATGCTTTGAGGGGTTGTGGTTGTTAAGGTTTGGAAATGGATCTAAGAAGAGTGGAGAGAGTAAACCATTGCAAAATGATAAATAGACAGGTGTTTTAACCACATATGGGTCATCTAACTGTTACCGTTTGAATATTATGGCTGTTTGTTATAACAGCCATAATATTCAAACATATCCAATATGATCTGAAACAGTCAACTTCCATCCACCCACACATCCTTATTCTTAGCCACTAATGCAGCTTAGGGTGCATAAGGTGCACACCTGCTGCGTTTTGTCAGATTAAATCAAACTCTGGTTCAGTTCCCCCGTTTGTGCAGATGTGATCATGGTATTTACACTCGAGTTCAACCACAGCGAGACTTCTTTGAAGAAACTGGTTTGTTTATGGTGAGAATGTCATCCGACCCACATCCGGCTCAACTACCACGTGTGAGCTTCAAGTTTGAGCTAAACACCGTCTGTTAGCCAAAACCGATCAACTGATTTTGAACGCGGTAAATAAACTGTAGGAGTGAAAATTCCCTTAGAGTCCCACCGGAGCTTGAACCTATTCCAGCTGACAGGCTGATTGGAAAAAGCAGTAACTGCGCCATACAGATAATCAGTCTGAGTTATGTGTCTAAATATATCAAAGGGTGAAAGGTACTAATGGGTCAGAAGCTGTCTCATTCACATTGACAAGACAAGGTTGTGATAATAATTAGAAGTTTATGTAGAAAAGATAAGAGCAAATGATGATGAACATGAGGAGGGTGGAGTGAGAAGTGTTAGTGATGTCACAGACGTGCAGATGTGTGAAAAAGCCATTTGCAGTATTGGTGTTGTCAGTAAAACAGATGGTTTCTAGGATGGAGGGAGAAAGAGAGGCCAGACCTATTTAAACTCAGTTCTGAGGCTTTCACAGGTGTACCCAAATCCCACTAATGGCCCTCCCTGCCTAGAGACTACTGCAGGAGGAGCACCCTGGAGTGTAGAGTAGAAAGTGGAGGGACTATAAGAATCAGCAGAAACAGGGTTTCATCAGATATTCAGTTTCTTTTTTTTTTACTGCAACACAAAATTGTAAATAAATAATTTCAAAGCACAAAAATTATGTGGCTTCTAACTCCAAAAGGAGTCAGAAGCCACATCATTTGCTGCTGCATCAACCACCAAATACATTTTATATTCTGTATCTCATGACAACAAGTGTCATTACATATTTGTATAAAGAGACTTCTTCATCTTATTCTCTGTGAATTGTCACAGTTAAAGACCAAAAAGACCCGTATAATAAGATTCAGTTAACCAATCAGTATTAGACTGGTCATCAACAGCAGAGACAGCAGGGTAAAGTTTTACATGGGATCACACCTTAGTAAATAAAATTCCCTAAAGAGAGTCCAGGCTATTATTAAATATCCTGAAAAAGCTTTAGAACGGTCTTTGAGTTGATAGCATTCACTGCAGATATGCTGTGAAGAATAAATCCTCCCAGTGATGCAAAGAAGATGTGCAAACCTAAAACCACAAAGAACAAAGAGTGTTCGTCCTTCAGGTTTAATTTCCTGCCAGTACGCAGATTTGAAATGCCACTTCTTTATCTGAAACTGAAATCTCAGATAATATTCTAAGTTATCTACACACAGCATGTCCGTAGAGAATTTTGAATAAAAAATATACAATGTAGTACCATACATACTAATATTTATTTTCCAATGAGTCATTATGTTGCCTTTAGCTAATTCACTCCTTTTTGTTAACCATAAAGCTGTTGAAAAGGAGCCTTTTTGAAGCAATTACATCATTAAGTAGACTTTAGGTGTTAAAGTGAGGCATGTTTATCCATTAAATTTTCAAGTGTCATTCACCAGCTTCACCTCTTGTCCAAATATGAGCACTTTTGACTCCAGATAAACAAGACGGTGAAGTGACAATTTCTTGGCTTTAACCTGTAGTTCACAGTTATTGGGTAATGTCCCAGTGATCGCGTTCTCTACCCCTGTTTGTGTATTGCAGAATCTGCAGGTGAAGGTAAAGCTTTGTGCCAAAGATTCACTTTTATCACTTTTTAGTTAGTTTCTACAGTTGTACTCATTGATCAGTGTGAAAGTTTACCTTGGTTATCCTTTGGATCTAGTGGAAGCCCAAAACCTGACCATAATCCCAAAAGCCGAGTCGCAGAGAGTAGGTGAGCACAGGGCTTAGTCTAAACAAGCTACATTTGTTTCCTCATAAATCAATTACCTTTAGTGATATAAGCAACTTGTCTTGTGAAGACATGACATGGGATCAGGGTCCGATTAGTGGCAAAACTATTTATATATATAGAACAGACAGAGAACAAATAAAACAAGGATGCACAAACATTGTGGTACTTGTGTGGAAATACTCTGCTTGGGTTTCACTGTTTAACACAAAATGCAGAAGCACACTTTGATAAAGTACTTTTTCAGATGTTGGAGGTCTTACCAGGAAATGCACGCGCTCTCTTGTGGTTTTTAGGCTAGAGGAGTGATACCAGAGTTTGTGCCACGTGTTTTCCTGTATTAACCTCTGGGAAAAATAAGTATGTCACTAATGCTTCTGTGTATTAAGCTTTGGTTAAACATGAATATATTTTCTGTAACGATATAAAGCAGCTATTAAGAGTTCATCTTTTGCATAAAATGATGAAACTCCCACTTTTCGGATGTACACAATGAAAACACCCAGACGAATGATCTATAAACTGTAATGTACTGGTTATATAGCACACTGAACAATTGTAACACAGACGCGAGCCCCCACCTGCTTAATGACGTACTTCTCAGGTTCTGTTGCGTCATGAATCACCTTCAGGAATCGCTTAGTTCATCATTTATCATCCCTTACTCGCACGTCTGGTAAGACATCGCTTCGCGGTGTCGCCATTCACTACATGTCAGTCCAGCAACCGGTGAGATAAACGGCAACGTGGGCCAAACTGCAGACACATTAGATATGATAAGTGACTTGCGGCTGTTAGGTATTTAATTTCCCACCATAATTAGTTTAGCAAAGCAGATTAGAATTTGGTTTCTTAATGATTCTGCATATAATGAAGGAGGCAAAAACGCTCCTGAGTGTGTAAGAAGGCTGTTATTCAGAAGCTTTAAACAAGAGCCCAGATGACAGTACTGTTTTTGTGCATACTCAAGGACTTCTTACTGATTCACAGCTGGTCTTTAGCGGTGTCTGAGGTCATGTGCATTTTTTCTCCCATTTTATTCCACATGAATTCAAAAGATTTATTAATTATAAATT